AACTATCCTCTCAGGCGACCAATTGAACAATGTGCGATTGTGTTCGCGGCTCAAATCAGCTATCTGCATGAAACGATTTCTGGATCACGGAACAATGAACTGTGAACTGCACAACACGAGAAGACAGGCCACGAAGATTACCCATGTTCGATCTCCATAATAGCAATAATAATGGTAGTTAACTGCGTTTATTGCCGATTCCAGGTATGCCTTTCGCTCCCCAGATAATGCTCGTTGACGGATGATTGCCAATGTCACTGTGAGGGTAAAAAGAATGGCTGAGAGAAAGGCAGAACGTGGGCCTCAGTGGTGACGTACGTAACACGTGAGCCCCAGAAAGGGTAATTGCGGCCTGGAGCGCAACTTTTGCAAATATCTCAGCATCATTGTGCTAGTAATAATAGTGGTAGTAGCAATATTAATATTAACAGCAGAGTTCTTTTTTTCATGAGATTCTTTAGAACGTTTTGCATTCTTCGGTTATTTCATATGTCTTTTCCACACAAAGATAATGACGTTACATTCAAGTGAAAAAATTGCCTAAGTTCTTTAATACATTTCGCATTGACATATAGCTCTAAATATACCTATATCTGAAGCATTCTTGCTCGCTGATTTGGAAATACGAATGAAAATTTGAAAGCGTTCAGCTGCCTCCACCCACTCCTCATTCGCTGTCCATCTCGCAGCAATTGACTACGACAACAAATTTAGCTCTTGGGTGACAATACATTCGGATCGTTTTAAATATTCGAAAGAAAATGGAGTGCGATCATTCACGGTGAGATTCATCTTTCATAGTCCAAGCCGATATCAGCAACGTCTTCTGTTGCTCCGTTAATCGAGTGAACGCAACATATTCGCGTCAGAGCTGCCCAATGAACTTCAGGCACCTTAATAAATGAGAAAAGTACAACACTTACTGAACCAGCCTCTTTATTTTTACTATCTTTGGTGAGAGTACGCACTCATTAGCTCGCTGAGCTTTCACGAGTGAATATAGTAACAGATAACTTCCAAAGCATTTCCTGTGTCGATGCCTATTTGCTGAAAGGGTTTGAGAAAGGGGAGAAGTTCTTGGCCGAGTAGACTTGAAGGAAATAATCCTCATACACCCATATTCATTCAAGCTCATGCATAAATATGTGCATGTGGAAGTTGCAAGGCTTCGAAGAATTGGAATTTGTATCATTTGAACAATTCCGAAAGTATTTAAATAGAGGATAATAGATTTTTTTCGTAAGGTTTGGTGAACCAGGCGGGTGAGATAAAACATCTCACCTGAGATCTAGAAGTTTTTGTCGTGTTCCCAGAAATTCTTTTTGCGTAAATTTTTTATAATAAAGGGCAAAATCTGTTCACCAACTCTGACATCTTTTGTCCCATGGATCGCTCTACTTCCTTCCCCTTTCCTTTGTTCAAATTAATACCTCATTCTTTTAGCAGCGGCTTTCAGTGAGGCTGAAAAGTTCATGTGCAATGCAAGATATTTCAATGGGAATTTCATTTTGCAACTGAATTTGTCACTTTGCTAAGCGTTGGTAAAGCAAAAGCTATCTAACTCCTAATTTTGTGTCATTTCTCCAGTATCTCGGTTTCTTTGTAAACGATGTCCTTCACCATCTACAGCGTTCTATTTGTATGCAGATCCTAGCACCTACTTCATTCGTTTCATTGTCTTGTATCTGTCATCCAGGAAGGCCTTCGGATTTGCGTGTGGACTCGGCTCCTGCTTATGAACGTTCGTCTTCTTCATGAATGCCGGTGAATATCGGGCTTGTTAACTCTCCTAAAAGTGCAAAAACATTTCTCCTAGAAGTTTACCAAGCAGAAGTCGGCTTTTAAGGGTCAAATGAAGCTTTTCCACACAAGTATGGAGACAATTTTTTGACGCTAGAGAGATGGGAAGCTTGGTTAAGTAGGAGTAGAAGATCAAGTTAGCAATCCTTTCCGCATTCTTATTTGATGCTTCTTACTTGCTGTTGCGTTGTTATCATGTAGATTACGTCTTTACACTGTGCAAACCTCCGGAGCAACAGCATTCCCTTATACCACCCAGAAATCCTTCCTCCAACTGATTTTTTGATTGGAATTCATTACATATTTTTTCGATAATATGCTTTACAACCAAACAGTTTTTTGCTGAAGGTTTTAACAGTGCAGGAAAGAAGAAACATCTTGACGTTTTAAGCTTCTACTTTGTAATATGGCGTCTTAGCTTGAGGGCACAGTTAAGTGACTCTGCCTGATATAATCGATCCGAATACTTGCTTTTCTATCACATTTCTCGTATCCATGTCAATTTTCATCAATGTTTAAATCCACTTAAAGCTTTTATAGGGATCTTATAAATCTTCACTGTATTGCATTTCAGCAGTACCAGTTACCCTATTCAAACAAAATTACTATTTAAAGTGTTAAGACGTCTAAAATGGCAAGTAGGAACAGAAACTCTATTAGTTTTTTCTAGCTCCACTGCTCTAGATGTGTGAGTATTTCTGCATCTTCAGGATTCAATAGAAGGGAATTTGCACGGAACGAAATCTCTGGATGAGTGCTTCGAAAAGGTTGTTGGATCGCTTTTACAATGCTTTAAACAATAAATGATGTTCATTGCCCAGTTCTTGTACTACAGCTCTATCAAGACTGTGTTCCACGAGCTGACGCAGTTTTCATCCGATTCGATAACCAGCCTGAGGACGCATGGGCTATAGACCAAATTTTTGTTGATACAAGTTATCGTCTTGGACCGACAGAAGAGCACCAGTTAGTTTCATAAGGGTTTCTAAAAACACATAGCTCACCACTAAATTTTCGCCGGTCGCCGTGGAACAGTGCCTAATTTTTAAACATACCAAACAAGAAGCGAACTCAATTTAGAAGCGGTTCTTCCTTCTCTCCTAACAAACAGCTTTTTAAACTTATTATTTACTGCCTCCTTTTTTTTAATGACAGGGTATATTGCGAAATATAACTTCAATGATGCTGAGATATTTGCAAAACTCCGGACCGCAGGTGTATGCGGTGGGGAACGAACGCGCTATTGTCTTTTCCGGGGAGTAATGCATTCACTACCACACCATGTGAGTCCTTCGTTTCGCCTGTCTCTCAGCTACTTCTATCGATCTTTGCCACATAATCATAATAATAATTATAATTATGGGACTGACGTCGTGACGAGAGACAGGTTATGCAAACTGTTAGCCTATCTTCATTTCGCTCGCAACGCAAGCTACGCTGGAACAGAGAGGTTCTACAGATCTGGTAAACGACCGATCAAGTTCTTAAAAAATGGGGTTGTCTTATTATCTGTCATAAAAAACTTATCAACACTTTGCTCAAAATGAACAGGTCAGCACTTGGTGCACACGATGTGGAGTTCGTTTTTGCATAGATCGTTTCAATCGTAGCTGCAAAAACGTGTAGACTCTTAAGGATACAGATTGTAGCCACCGTCAATCTTCGCGTTTTAAAATGCAAACTGTTGATTTTAGAATAAATTTACTTCAGCACGACGAACTGAAGATTTCGCTTTTTAAGTTTTATTTCATCTTATTTTTTATGATTTTATATTTTCTTTTACCTTATTTTACTTTTTATTGTTTAGTTTTTTGGGATTTTTATTTGAGGTTCATTACGCATACGTGTCGAGGAATCTTAGTACGTTCTTCATTAGCAACAGTTTCGCGACGAAACGAACAAATTCATGCGAAGTTCCTTCTAAATGAAAAACGTTTCGTTCCTACATCATTTCATATTCCACGCATTAGGCGGATTGTCAGGCTCTTTCGGTGGAAGAAGCTGACGCACTGCACAAACAGAGTTTGCTCACTGACAACACGTTAGTTCTGGCTGTTCACAGATAAACCTTCTACGATGTTACCCTTTTTATTTTCTGCCTACTATAGTTTTTCACAGCAAGGTATGAGGTGATATACAACTGGAATTACGCTGAGATATTCTCAAAACTCGGATCCCGGGCCAGATCGAACCACGACTTCCCTTTCCGGGGAGTAGCGCATTACACACTGCACTACGGTGGCCCTTGCTCCGTGTTTCTATCAGCTAGTTTTTTAACAAACGGTACCTCATAAACATTTTACAATTCGTTCTAATTGCTGTTTTGCTTCGTAACGAGCTTTTCTGATGAGTGCGACAATAGGACAGGAGTGAACATCTCCAAGACTTCTTAGCTGAAACGATGTAGGCGACTCATCGTGATGCCGTGGGTTATATAATAGTCGGAAGACATATTGCCACATCCTGAGATTGCTTGTTGGCTAGAGAACTGAAGCACATTTTCAGGCAGACATGGCATTTCGAACATCCGATTTTGATGCCCTGCATATCGTGGCTCGACGACTCGCTTACATATCAAATCGGCCCCAGAAATGGATTATTCATCAATCATAACTATCGTTACCAGGCAAAGAGTGGAGAGTGGATCCGTGATTGGGTTTAACAATAAGAAATAAAAACACACCTTTTCTATGAAAGTACAAATCTCGTTATTCGTTAGCTTTATTCTTAATATTTGTGAGCAAATTACTCGAAGTACCAATAAAGTCCATATTCGTCTCCACCACGCATGATAGTTGTGCAGTGAGCTCAACTTACTACAGAAACTGAGAGGAAGTACACTACTTGCGTAAATCTCGTTATATTCGCTGGTTTTCGCGACACGATACCTAGGTTATGCCCATATTGATAAGTTGGTGGCAGAGCTCTCCGTTTTGGATGCAAGAATGTTACAGACGATTACCAGTCGCCTCTCACTTTCTTAGCCACTTGACTGGGCGTTTTCGATCGAGTCGACATTAAATAAAAGCATCAGTTTAGCAACTGTATCAGCTGAGAGATCAGTAATCACCATTGGTCACTGCCGTGAATGACTGGAAAAGTTCATGAGAACACGAGGTTTTGCTCGAGTACATACATTTAGGTTTCGCTTACAATGTTATCATTTGTACAAAAGAATCTACTCTTAAATCTTGGTCATCTCACAATATGATACAACACGCTTTGTCGGAGTCCTTTTCTTTTGCCGATATCTCCGAACCCACTTTGGTTTTATGATATGTCTTGGGAGGATTTGACGAATTGAGCTTCTTCACCTGTAATTATTTCAGTAAAGCCCGGCTACTCAGGAATTTTGTACCAAATGGTTAACAAGTAAACACAGAAAAAGCATCAGCGATGAATTAAGAGCGAAATACCTGATCCAAGATATCATCTACATGTGGCCACGAAGCGTTCTCATCCTCAATATACTTGTAGAGCAACTTGCCCGAACAACCGACCAAAATTGTTCCGCCCTTAACAGATTCGCTATAACGGCAGTTTGAGCACTTGAGTTGAGTACACGACAAACTTATAGCATTGTGCTATCACTCTAATTGCATATGACCTTCTTATTTCTGTTCTGCCGTTTGATCGAAACTGAAAATACTAAAAGAAAAAGACGTTTGGCGCCGATCAATCTCTGAAGGACACACTATTCATTCAACTTCATTAGATATGGTTTAGACAACTGAATGCATGTTTGTCACACATAATGACTTCCCTAAGCATAGCGATAATCCAAGGCAGTGCTGATACTGATTGGGAGGATCCCAGACAAATCTGGCGGAAATTTGCCGACCTCTGACGGATGGAAGACAAAGTGAGCCCGAAGAGCAATGCTGACCGTATTTATTTCGCTGCATCATAGCCACTCAGCAGCAAATTCTTCTTAAAAACTAAGAAAAAAAACAGTAAGAGAAAAGTAAAGGCTTTTCAAGCGTCAAGCGCCAACGGTGACGATTCGTTAAGGGAGACTATCGCGCTTTGCAGAGCGATATTTCGCTGGCCCGATCGCTTCGGTAACAGCAAAGAAAAACAAATTGTGAAAGGCAGAGTCAGAATACCATTGTGGTGAAACAAGAAAACTTGGACATCTTTGAGATAAAAGTATAGCTTCTAGTAGTTTTTATTTCCAATGTGTTCCTTCGAAGCTGAAAGGAAAAAATTTCAATGCCACTGGAGTGTGAAGTGGGATCACTAGATATCGTCGCTGATGTATTAAATTCAAGCATTATTCACAACGAACCAATCGATTTCTGCAGTTATCATAAAACAAAGCCTGCTATTCTGGCTAGAATGACAATGTATACCTTTTGCGTAATGAAACAATCTTGATCATCGTTAGCAGACTTGGAAGCCCTACGAGCCGAAGAATGTGGTCGCGTTTCGTTGACAAATGACGCATCCACCAGCTGAAAACTTCCATCGCATACTCATAGTTATTTATCACAGAGTGGTTAATAAACTATGCAAATTAAAAAAGCTTGAGCGAACTCTTTTTACCTGAAGTAAAGCATTCCATCCGACACGATCCATAGCTGGACGTCGATGGCATTTCAACTCAGCCAAAGCTTCATTATCGTCGTACAATTTTCGAAATGGCTCACCAATCAGCTTGATGTACGACCCACCTAAATGCCTAGTGAAAATAGGGAATTCAGAAGATTATACTGAGGTTGTAAGGCAGGAAGATGCTAGGGGTGGCACTAGAAAAGATGGCGCTGTTGTTGAAGGAGAATAAAAACATTTGGAAGAAATGAAGAGAAAGTAAAGACGTAGCAATTTTAGAAACGTATGTTCTACACACTTGAGATTGTTCTCGTTTGCTAAAATGTTGGGCTCTAAGCGCCAGATATGCATTCAATCACCTTCCAACGTTGCTCAATGAAATCGAATGCATAGCTCATCCCTCAGGGATTGATCAACGCCGAGAGCCTTTTTCAGAGCTTTTTATAGTCAAAGTTGTTGATTGCTAGGATAATTGGGCTCGTACTACGGACGTCGATTTAGGAAAAACCTGTGATGAAAGGAATGGGAACAACGGAGTTGATCTGAAGTACTACAACAAGCCGTAGTTTGACTACTAAGCTAACAAACAAGATACCATCTGCATCACCCGTCGTCCCGTTGATCGTCCAACAACTCGAACAGACGTCAGTAAATTTCCATTTTCCTCCTATCGAGTGAAACAATAGCCCAATGGCTCCAGAGACTCTTTGAGCATCATATACTTTTTCGTGCGTTTTCGTGAAGAACTCTGACGATCTGATCGGTGGTCTTCCTGCAGTGCGTTTAATATCCCGAGGAATCCAGTCAGTAACGGCTATTGTCTATCGGTTGTCGTTCATAAGCAGTACCCGTCCGACTCACCCCTGACTGTTCGGCGTATAGAAAGGCGTCTTTGATTTTTGATCATTCACGTAGGTCGAAGCTTCGAATCTCCTCCCTCACGTGCATGATGTGAATCTTTACATAGCTTCCATGACTTCACTTGTCTCCATCGATTCGAAAGCTGTCCTCAAATCGATGAATGTGAGACAAAGCGGTCTCTTGCATCGTACTCTCGCGACACTTCAATGGGTCTTGTTATCGCATACATATGGTTTATGGTACCTAATTCTTCTCAAAACCCTGCTTGTTCAAATCGATGTCCTTCGTTAAGTCTTCTCTCAATCCTGTTTAGGATGACTCGAGTGAAAAATTTGTATACGACAGACAGCAAGCAGATTGGGCGATCGTTGCGGATAACGTGGAGTTCACCCTTCTCGAACAATAGCATGGTCCTGCTGGTCTTCCACTGAGTACCTTGCATTAAGACAGGTAACATGTGAAGAGCCGAGCCAGTGTGTTCACGGCGATTGGCGGAAAGTTCTTCAGGTGTTCTGGTCTCATTCTGTGCGGACCTGGTGCTGTTCGATTTTTCGCCGACGAAATGCCATGTCAGATTTCGGAAGGGAGAACCGGTGGTACAACATATCCAACCTCTTTTATTTCATAAGAAGGAAATAGGACGTGGCTACTGAAGAGATTCGAGTAGCATTCGTGAATGATTTTCTTCCCTTCCTTTCTGGACGCTGTATGTTCTGTCTGGGCGTCGTACTTCAATCATCATGGTCTTGCAATTGGCGAAGATCTGATGGCTTTTGCGAATGCTTTTCCCATCCTCTGCAGGTTCAACCATAGCTATACTGTTCTTCTCTCGTTAAGATCGTATTTTATCTCCTGCTTACACTATTTTGCATACTCGGACGTGAGTTAGTGGTTGCCAGTAGCTCATGGAATTCCACGTTGGCGTATCACCTCAAGTGTTCTTGTAGGCAAACGTCTCTTGGTGATTTTCGAACTCTCTGCTTTTATAGCGCTATCGTGGAGATGTTCAATGAGCCGATCGTATTCGTCGTCGAAGCTTTCGAGAACGATATCTTCACAACAGCCGACTAGTGAATTGAATGAGTACCAGTTTATGGTGGTTTTGGGACTTTGTTTCCTGAATTTAGCCGATTTTTCTCCTCTCTGCGAAAAATATAATCTTGTAAGAAGGAGGCGATGGTCGGATCCCGTGTAAAATTTTGGACAACAGCGACATCGGTTCGGCAAAACCTTCTATTTACTATGATGTGGTTTATTACGTTATGGTACTTTCTACTGGGAGACTCTCACGTCCAGCGTTGAGGGTGCGGTTTCTGGAATTGCGGGTTACCATGGATTGTCTTGGTCGCCATGATAAACTCAGAGAGCCGCTCAGCCTGTTCCTTCCATTCTAATTCGTGGGTCCCAAGGTAACGGTCTTCAGGCGTTCTTCTTGGTCCAATCTTGGCGTTAAAATCTCCAATAATAACCTTGAGCAACGTATGGTCTTCTCTGCAAAAATTCTTCAAGTCCATATAGAACTTTTCAACTTCTTTTTCGTCGTAACTTGACGTCGGTTTCTTATACGATGAAGGGTGTTAAAGTCGCTATTGATTAACATCTCTTCAACGGCAGACGGACAAGTTCAGATTGTTCTCTGTTCGAATGAATGGATGCGTATGGTCAACTCATGTTGACGAAAACGCCAACGCCGTCTCCTCTGTTGTCTCCTGTTCAAAGGAACAGTTCTGCTCTGGTGTCATTGACGAAGTCGAATGGGAGGAGTCTTCCCGTATCAGCCAGTTGGATAACGTTGAACCTCATCCCTACAGCCTGTATGAACAGGTACCCTTGAGATGAGTCAAATGCAAGTGAGCCTACATTGTAGATACAGATCGCCACTTTAATTCCTCCCGATATAGGCAGCCTAGAATGACCTTGAGATTTTAGTCATGTTTCCGTACTCTTCCTACCTAACGCTACCAGTGCTTCTTCGGCTTGAGGAGAATATGGCCTACTGGTTTTGTTATGCTTCGCTTTTGATAACCACGTCTTAGTTTGCGCCGAGCTCTTAATGTGGTGGCTGGATATATTGGCGGATCAAATGTCAATCTTTGCCATAGTAGAGACGAGCTTATTTGTTGGGTGCAACTCCTGAGCGCAACCCCTATAATTTCTTGTTACTCGATTGCAGGCTTTTGGCTGAAGTGACTCGCAGAACATAATCCGCATAAACGAGAACACACCCATGCACTCATATGTACATATGTCTTTGTAAACACAAAAGATATGTGTTAATTCAATGTTTTTCATCAATAAGCAGACACGAGGTTGTTAATATAGAATTTATTAGAACACAATTGCTATGTGTTATGTGTTAATATGTTAATGTGTTAATTATGTGTGTGATAGATATGTGTTAATTCGGTGTACGAAAAACAGGCAGTCCACCTCTGTGGTCCATGCGAGTATCAGGGATGTAAAAGTCCCTTTGGTCAGTGTAAAACTCGCAGAGACCAATAATCTACCCATAATTATATATTATCTTCAACGTTGGGGAAGGGTGCAAAGCTATGAGAGAATATTCTGTCTCCAAAAATGCTAATAGCGAAAGGCTACATAGAAGAATTGTGAGGTTTTTCGTATCAACCAAGAATGCAAGACTGAGCAAGCTTGGCAGTTCGCGTGAACGAGTGGCGCCATGACAATCGACACGGGGAAATTTTCCTAGTTCAGTACCATTATGATTGTATTCCACATAACACCCCGCCATGAAGAAATAACATGCACTAAACAAAAAGTTAAAAATTGCGTTCTACTCCTATGACTGCAAACCCTACCTTATAACCACTGAATGTTGCACTCAAAAGCACAATGTTTTACGTTTTATCTACTGCCTATGTTTTCAAGGCACGGTAGCTTCGGCCTAACTGAATTCAATGCCGATTTGTGCCACCCAGATCGTTTTCGTTACCGGGTGATCGCTAATAGCAGCAATGGGGCAAAAAACTGGTTGAAAGAAAGGTAAGAAAAGAGAATTGGTGGTGTAGTGGGAAACACTTGAACCTTCGAAAAGGATTACCGCTAGTTTGAAGCTTACCTGGGGTTCTGAGTTTTGCAAATATCTCAGCATCATTTTGGAACAAATTATTGGGAAAACCATATAAATTCTGACCTCTGACGCCCATTGGCGGTCCCCTGGTCAGTAAACATACATCGCAACCTAGTTTACGAAATTCTGGAATTTTATTGCAAAGTTCCATAATGTGGTTCATAACGGACGCTGAAGTAAACGACCTAAAAACAGAGAAACTAATAAATAACTGGATAATTTGTGCTTCATTCAGCGACGAACTTCTCGCTGTGTTCTAAGAGAAGATTCGTCATTGACAACCACAACCAACACCATATCGAACGCGCTTCCCTTCACATAAAGTGAAATAGTCTTATTTTCTATTCCAAGTTCGGGAAGCATATCTGGATCTGAAATTCGCTAAGGCTTTTTGTGAATTGTTTACAATGAAAAGTTTAAGCTGGCGAAAAAACGAATTTGAATTGGCGCCGAATTTTTTTCGACATGTTAATGGGATATTGGTGGAATTAAAAGTCGCGTACCTTTATCAGTATTCGTCATTGATGGACCAACTTTCTCCACCAAAGTTTTCTCGATTCCGTCAATGAATTCTTCCCAGCTTTTCATAATGGCTTCAAAGTATTCAATTTCAGCAGCTGAAACACATGATGAGTTTGGAAGCGAAGGTATCGAAACATTAGCCGAATAGAGTTTTCATCAACCTCGTGTTAGGCTAACAGTGAAAGATTGCAAATAAAGAGTGCTTAAAAAGGGAACGACTTTTAAGAAAATGCAAATTGGGGTTGCTTGATGTAGACGAGCTCAGTGTGCATGTAAACAGTATGGCAACATACATCTATTTATAAAAAAGGAATACTCTCAGGGGCATGGGAACCAGTGGTAAGAGATGCTGTGCAATAAATTCAAGCATGGTCGATAGTTAAACGGCGCTCGTGGTCAACTAAGCCTCCCATCCTTCCGCGATTGGCAAGTCACCAGCAGATGTGTCTGAGAGAATGATACCACAAAAATGCCCGCGACTGATGAAGACATGGAAGAAACGCTCATTTCCAGGACAACGATGCTACCAATTCTACTGGTAACCCACGTTTTTTCATTTCGAACACTTTATTTGAATAAAGTATTGAAAGGTGAATTTAGTAGTATAGAGACTACTACGATAGGCGATCCATTCTGCCAGACCGTATCCTTAATTCCCCCGCTAGCAAATGCACGAGATCCGTTCAATCCAATTGAACAAATAACTAGCACCTCGATCAAGACGTAGACCGTAAGGAGGCAGGTGCTGATCATCTTTATAAGCTGGAGGAAGTCCACAGAACATCCTGAAGAATTCAAAACTGGCCTGGCCCAATCTGATGAATTGGTGTTACATGCTCCTATCGGATATCACAAAACAAAAAAAAATGAAAACTTGCATGGAAACCGAACTGCGCTTAACAGCGTTATTACCAGGGGAGGCAACCACGTGTTTCCTATCACCACCCAATTCGCCATCGGAAAGGGAACAGCGAAATAGAGACAGCTTTTGAAAAGTTATACAGTGCGATAGGATGTCAGTCTGAATATTTCCGTAGATGTCAGAAAACACAATGACTGCTCGTTCCCACCGTGTATCCGACACCGCCACTTCAGTTTTTATGGAAAACCAATTTATCCTCAATGAAAGATAGTCAGAGGATAATTTAAAAGCCTATGCACATAGGAAGTTGAACGAAGATAGTCATGCTACTCTGTGGAATACAGAGTTGCATTTAATGGTTGTAAACTATGGTTGTGCAAAGAAAGTCCAAGCACTTATCCTCTAACTAGTCGAGGAGAAAATTTTGAGAAATAGCTCATTCTACGGTTCAAACGGCCACTGAATTAATAACTGCGAACTCGTTCGAAATAATCAGAAAAAAAGCAAAAGAGAAACTGTCTACAAAAACGAAAAGAACTACGCATACGGCAACAAACCTACGACTCTTTAAGCCTAGCCGGATGCACACGGAAGGACACTGGATTACATGGCGGAATAATGTCAACGTTAATAGAAAACAGATATTAGGAAGAAGGATCCACAACCCACTAGGCTTTAAGGATTATTTCTTTTGCCAACAAAAGAAGCAGAACCCACAAAATTCGAGAGGCAAAATCAAATACGAACATCTGTCAGGAACAATTCATTTCTTTCGTCCTTTAACCTTCAGCTGCTACAAAGTATTACTCGATAACTAATCGCAAGTCATTACATTTGCTTTTGTTAATTTTTCACAAAAACACAAAAAAACACTAGCAAAGCGTCCGTTTGTTGAATGGAACAGTTTCTTCTCTCATCTTTCTTCAATCACATTTTTCCATAAATCAAAGCATTGGGCCTCTCTTTCATAGAATAAATGTAAACTTATGAATTACGAGGTCCATAAGAAGAAACAGAAAACTACCAGTGGTTGGTTCATTTCGAAGTGCTTCTATTGCCTTTTCGAATTCGGCAACCGTTTTCACATTGAGAATCGCGAATATCCTCGCTATTTCAGTACAGAACTCAGCCGCAATGAAACGATTCTGGATATACAACCACAACGTTGCTGAGATATTTGCAAAACTCTGGACCGCAGGTATCTATGGTGGAGAACGAACGCGCTATTGTCCTTTTCGGGGGGTAACGCGTTCACCACCACACCATGCGGGTCTTTCGTTTCACCTGTCTCTCAGCTATTTCTATCGATCTTTTTGCCACAGCAATCACCCTTCAGCGGGATTGATCTGGGGAGCCCAAATCGGCATAGAACCCAGTTAAGCTGTGGCTGTAGTTGAAATCACAATGTTTTTACGTTTTACGTTTTGTTTTCTGCTTTAGCTGAGAGACAGGCGAAACGAAGGACCCGCACTGTGTGGTGGTGAATGCGTTACTCTCCGGAAAGGACAATAGCGCGTTCGTTCCCCACCATAGACACCTGCGGTCCAGAGTTTTGTAAATATCTCAGCAACGTTGTGGTTGTATTTCGCTTAGTAACCTGCCATGAAAATTATAGAAGGCAGAAAACAAAACGTAAAAACACTGTGATTCTGGATATAGTTTACTGCGAAGACAGCGACAGAATTGGACTCTAAAAACTGAAAAGAAAGCTACTTAGACTAGGACTCCTTCATCTTGAAGGAGTAAACATCAATTAAACGTGAACAAAATTTTCACACTGCCTTTGGTTCAGTAAAAATGAAAGAAACAGTGGTCTGCATTCACTAATCAGAAACGATAATTAAAGCAACTGCAGGTCCAGTGACTAAATTCCATTAGCCGACGTGTTTCATTAAATTCTGAATATTCTTGCCACTTCATAACAATGAATTGTAGCCCTTCACGAAAGTTTTTCAGGTCTGGAAGGGGGAACGAGGCTCATTTATTCCTGCTGTGTCTAGCCCTCTATTTTCACCCGTTAGCTTGCCGAGCTCTCAATTTAGAGGGTGGATTTGCTCACGAGTAGCTTGCCAGTCTGTCCTAGAGTAGAGCTAAAGCTTACTCGTTAAAGGTGACTCCTAACCGTCTCCCATATACTTACTTGTCACCTGATTTCAGATTTTTCCCACAATGACTCTCAGAATATAATCTACGTTAACGAGAACACACCCACGTAGGCATTCATGAACATGTCCGCGTAAACAGAAGCTATGGTAATGGTCGGCGCAGACAGAACAAGGAGTCCAGTCCCGGGAACCAGATGCGTATCATGGAAGCAAAGATCGCTTTTGGTCCGCGTTTAAAATCCTTTTTGCCACCCGGGGATACACCACGTAGCCTCACGATTAACTGGCCGGTGATCACCTAGTGAAGGAGATCTGTGGAATTATTTATTTATGTGATCTTATAAACTGATCTTCTTAAGCTGACGCGAGGTTGGTACAGATCTTCGTTGTCGTTGTCGTAGTCGTTGTTTTTGATGTTATTGATCGATGGCTGACGTTTCGGCGACTTCGCCTTCCTCAGAGCCTGGACGTACTTTATGTTAGAATACTTTTTATTATTCGGTGGAAAAGAAGGTTAAAGTATTAATGAAGATCAAACTTTCAAATAGGCGCCATATTGAACAGAAAGGCCACTCACCGTGATTTTACGTGCGGGACTGGCCCACACGTAGTTCACGTGGAGTCGCGAGCAAGACACGCCCCGGGGTCAAAATATCATTTTGAA